TCCACAGCAATAATACTCCCAGTAATGTGTCTGAGTGTATAACAGAGCTCCACAGCAATAATACTCCCAGTAATTTGTCTGGGTGTATAACAGAGCTCAACAGCAATAATACTCCCAGTAATGTGTCTGAGTGTATAACAGAGCTCCACAGCAATAATACTCCCAGTAATGTGTCTGAATGTATAACAGAGCCCCACAGCAATAATACTCCCAGTAATGTGCCTGAGTGTATAACAGAGCTCCACAGCAATAATACTCCCAGTAATGTATCTGAATGTATAACAGAGCCCCACAGCAATAATACTCCCAGTAATGTGTCTGAGTGTATAACAGAGCTCAACAGCAATAATACTCCCAGTAATGTATCTGAATGTATAACAGAGCCCCACAGCAATAATACTCCCAGTAATGTGTCTGAGTGTATAACAGAGCTCCACAGCAATAATACTCCCAGTAATGTGCCTGAGTGTATAGCAGAGCTCCACAGCAATAATACTCCCAGTAATGTGTCTGAGTGTATAACAGAGCTCCACAGCAATAATACTCCCAGTAATGTGTCTGAGTGTATAACAGAGCTCCGCAGCAATAATACTCCCAATAATGTGTCTGATTGTATAACAGAGCTCTGCAGTAATACTACTCCCAGTAATGTGTCTGAGTGTATAACAGAGCTCAACAGCAATAATACTCCCAGTAATGTGTCTGAGTGTATAACAGAGCTCCACAGCAATAATACTCCCAGTAATGTATCTGAATGTATAACAGAGCCCCACAGCAATAATACTCCCAGTAAGGTGTCTGCGTGTATAACAGAGCTCCACAGCAATAATACACCCAGTAATGTTTCTGAGTGTGTAACAGAGCTCCACGGCAATATACTGGCATGGTGGGATAGCAATAGCCAGTATCCCTGCATTGTCAGACAGTGTATAATAATGTTATAGCTCTATACTGGCGCGGTTGGATAGCCAGTATCCCTGCATTGTCAGACAGTGTATAATAATGTGATAGCTTTATTCTGGGGCTGTTGGATAGCCAGTATCCCTGCATTGTCAGACAGTGTATAAAAATGTGATAGCTTTATACTGGCGCGGTTGGATAGCCAGTATCCCTGCATTGTCAGACAGTGTATAATAATGTGATAACTTTATACTGGCGCGGTTGGATAGCCAGTATCCCTGCATTGTCAGACAGTGTATAATAATGTGATAGCTTTATACTGGGGCTGTTGGATAGCCAGTATCCCTGCATTGTCAGACAGTGTATAATAATGTGATAGCTTTATACTGGGGCTGTTGGATAGCCAATATCCCTGCATTGTCAGACAGTGTATAATAATGTTATAGCTGTATACTGGGGCTGTTGGATAGCCAGTATCCCTGCATTGTCAGACAGTGTATAATAATATTATAGCTTTATAATAGGGCTGTTGGATAGCCAGTATCCCTGCATTGTCAGATAGTGTATAATAATAACAAACACAATGCACTTTTAGCTGGAAAAATTCCAGCAAAAAGGATACAAAGAAATGGATTACTGGGGTACTAAAAAGGGCCTAACCCTTATATTAACAAATATACAAAAAGAATGAGGAGCAAGAATTATCACACTATGTTGCTTTTTATTTATTTTTATTTATTTATTTATTTTTTAATAAAAATAAAAAGCAACAATAAAAATAATAAAAGCAACATAGTGTGATAATTTGTATCTTATTGTGTGAGGATTTACGCATGCGCGTCTTTTGGCTAAACGCCAACTCCGGCGCATGCGCAATAGCCTCTATGGGATGTTTGATACACTGGGGACTCCATTGATGCCGGCAGAGTGCATACGCATGCGCTCTTTTTCCGACTGAGCGCTGGTCCTTGACGCATGCGCAGTTCATCCTGCTTCACATATGTGAATGGGGGACCTCTTACCGGCAAATTACTTGGGCGTGCCGAAACGGAGACCCAGCCCACTTATGACGGGCGGTTATTTTCTGGCGTCAATTGTAAGTGCATATAAGGGAGGGGACGAAGGGAGGGTATTTGCACACTACTAAACCCTTGAGAGAGGCGGACATTACTGCCGAAACACGCGTTGGGCTCCTGCTATATGTGTGGGGGGTGGGGGGGTGGACTTGGGCAATTAGCCTTTCTTTACTGTTTGAATTATAGCTCAGGGTCATTGACCTACTGAACTTTTTCTATTGCCTCCCCATTTAATTTTTCATTCTCTTCACTGATATCTTTCTGTCCTTTCGATTTACTTACTTTGATAAGACATTTGGAGCCACTATGGCCAAGATATACCAATTTGTACTTGTAGTAAATCATTAGGATGTATATATCTCTATATTTAAATTTGGATATCTAATAGTGAAGAGTATATTTGTTTATTGTAGGAATTGGAATGTTGTTTTCAGCCAGTTTCAACTATACTTATATGTGTCGCTTCATGGATACTGTTGCTAATTTGAAGTAGCTTTTTTTTCACTACTTCTCTACTGGAATTTTAGCAACTTAGTGTTAAGACACCTCCAGTGTCTTTAGGCAAAACCGCCGTTTAGTAAACCTTCCCCGGCTGCAGTACCGTCTCCGTTCGCTTACTCTGTAACCCACGAACGCAATGCAGGGGAAGCGGTAATCTCCCGATCGATATCCACGAACGGCTCCAAACTCTCGAACGGCAATATACGAACTGCTAGGAACCGTCGAACAACAATATCCCCAAAGCGGCTTTCGTTCCATCCAGCAGTCTCTAACCGTGAAGAAGAAATCCCCCCAATAACGAGACAGAAGCTCCGCATTGAGGGTCAAATAAGATCTGGTTTTACTGTGGGCTACCTGCCCGTATTTATGCAGGTCTCCCACCTGGTGGACACTCCCCTAGGGGACCAAATGGAAGACTTAAACTACAGACAGACAGAAGGACATTTCTGACACACAGTCACATATCTTACCCACAGTGCATTCTGATTCCCTCCCCCTGTCCTGGAGTTAATTACCAAGTAACTCAATTAACCCCAGGACAAGGACAGTTGCCATTTTAAACATAAAATAATAAAAGACATAAAAATGCATAACTACATGAAAACTGAACATTTCCCATTCGTATTACATGTATCCAGATAGCCTGGATCTGAGTGCATATTATTGGCGAATAGCGCTCAGATCCCACACACATAGTTCAATCGCCATGGAGTCAAAGTTCTTACAGTCCTTCGGTATACGAATGACTCCATGGGAGGGCTATCTGGGTTAAGTCTTTCGTATGCTCTCAATCTCCCGAACAGCCGGTGTTCGCATGCTTTCGTGGAGGCAGCCAGGCGTTCCCTTGTTTCAGCGGTGTTCGACAGAAAAAGTGTCCGTTTTCCGTTCCATAGAAATAGAGCCAAACACCGCTGAGCGCTCGCATGATTTAAAATGGCCGCTGCCTCGTGGTCGACATACGAACGACGACCACCCTGAGTTCGGTTTAATTGAGAAGTGTCTGCGGTTAACCACAACTTTATAATGGTGATCACTTCGTTAACCTGCAGCACACTCCTCACTTGGGTGGCCGTTCGTTCGGCAGATTTGTTCGGGAAAAAGAGTCATTCGAATGGCTGGGCTATAGAAACCAGCCATTCATACGAACGGGGACAAACAGACGAACGGGCAAAAATCCAGCAGACAGATGGTTCTGTCACACTTAGTATCGAGGTGCATTATTCAGTTATGTGCACTTCAGGCTGATCCTCTATGTCCCTTTATTCCTAGTTTGTAGCAGTTTGGTGTATTATAGATATTATATATGGGACTTCTAATGTTTTTCAATATATTTCTATTATTTTTTCACTTTGTGTTATACACGGTTAGTGGGTAAATATACTTCTATTGCTCCAGAGGGGGTACTAGTTTTGAGGGGATTTGTTCCCGGTGTTTCAGGGATTCTTGCTCCTCATTCTTTTTGTATAGTGTATAATAATGTGATAGCCAGTATCCCTGCATTGTCAGACAGTGTATAATAATGTGATAGCTTTATACTGGCGCGGTTGGATAGCCAGTATCCCTGCATTGTCAGACAGTGTATAATAATGTGATAGCTTTATACTGGCGCGGTTGGATAGCCAGTATCCCTGCATTGTCAGACAGTGTATAATAATGTTATAGCTTTATACTGGCGCGGTTGGATAGCCAGTATCCCTGCATTGTCAGACAGTGTATAATAATGTGATAGCTTTATACTGGGGCTGTTGGATAGCCAGTATCCCTGCATTGTCAGACAGTGTATAATAATGTGATAGCTTTATACTGGCGTGGTGGGATAGCGATAGCCAGTATCCCTGCATTGTCAGACAGTGTATAATAATGTGATAGCCAGTGTCCCTGCATTGTCAGACAGTGTATTATAATGTGATAGCTTTATACTGGCGCAGTTGGATAGCCAGTATCCCTGCATTGCCAGACAGTGTATAATAATGTTATAGCTTTATACTGGCGCGGTTGGATAGCCAGTATCCCTGCATTGTCAGACAGTGTATAATAATGTTATAGCTTTATACTGGCGCGGTTGGATAGCCAGTATCCCTGCATTGTCAGACAGTGTATAATAATGTTATAGCTTTATACTGGCGCGGTTGGATAGCCAGTATCCCTGCATTGTCAGACAGTGTATAATAATGTTATAGCTTTATACTGGCGCGGTTGGATAGCCAGTATCCCTGCATTGTCAGACAGTGTATAATAATGTGATAGCTTTATACTGGCGCGGTTGGATAGCCAGTATCCCTGCATTGTCAGACAGTGTATAATAATGTTATAGCTTTATACTGGCGCGGTTTTATAGCCAGTATCCCTGCATTGTCAGACAGTGTATAATAATGTGATAGCTTTATACTGGCGCGGTTGGATAGCCAGTATCCTGCATTGTCAGGCAGTGTATAATAATGTGATAGCTTTATACTGGCGCGGTTGGATAGCCAGTATCCCTGCATTGTCAGACAGTGTATAATAATGTGATAGCTTTATACTGGCGCGGTTGGATAGCCAGTATCCCTGCATTGTCAGGCAGTGTATAATAATGTGATAGCTTTATACTGGCGCGGTTGGATAGCCAGTATCCCTGCATTGTCAGGCAGTGTATAATAATGTGATAGCTTTATACTGGCGCGGTTGGATAGCCAGTATCCCTGCATTGTCAGACAGTGTATAATAATGTTATAGCCAGTATCCCTGCATTGTCAGACAGTGTATAATAATGTGATAGCTTTATACTGGCGCGGTAGGATAGCCAGTATCCCTGCATTGTCAGACAGTATTTAACGTGTTTTTCTGATAGCATCTTTCATGTCGGTTTTACCTTGGGCACTCTGTGTGGAGTCAGTGGGTTTATCTTATAACTTTGAGTGAAGTTCCCCCAGGATAGTAAGAGATGGCAAACATCGCTGTTCACACCCTTGCTTCCAAACACTCGGATTAAGATGTAAATTCCGATATAATCAGAGCACACAGGCTGCACAGACACGCCAACATCCCCGGGGAATGAATCCCAGTCAGTACATTGAAACTAATTCACAAATATCCACTCTGGGGAAAGTACAGCAGTTACCTTGGAAACCAATGCAATATTTCTCACTAAATGCTCCACTTTCCGAGAATTATTCTTCACACAGAGCCGGACCACATATTGTGGCCATCAATTATACGATAAACCATTAATCAATATTAATAGAAACATAGAAACATAGAATGTGACGGCAGATAAGAACCATTCCGCCCATCTAGTCTGCCCAATTTTCTAAATACTTTCATTAGTCCCTGGCCTTATCTTATAGTTAGGATAGCCTTATGCCTATCCCGCGCATGCTTAAACTCCTTTACTGTGTTAACCTCTACCACTTCAGCTGGAAGGCTATTCCATGCATCCACTACCCTCTCAGTAAAGTAATACTTCCTGATATTATTTTTAAACCTTTGTCCCTCTAATTTAAGACTATGTCCTCTTGTTGTGGTAGTTTTTCTTCTTTTAAATATAGTCTCCTCCTTTACTGTGTTGATTCCCTTTATATATTTAAATGTTTTCTATCATATCCCTGTCTCGTCTTTCCTCCAAGCTATACATGTTAAGATCCTTTAACACTTTCCTGGTAAGTTTTATCCACAATCCATGAACCAGTTTAGTGTGGCCCTTCTCTGAACCCTCTCTAAGGTATCATATCCTTCTGAAGATCGCGGTCTCAGTACTGTGTACAATACTCCAAGTGAGGTCTCACCAGTGTTCTGTATAATGTGAGCACTTCCCTCTTACTTACTGCTTGTATATGCGTGAGTGGGGGTCTTGATGTAATAGAACAAAACTAACCCCCATTCAACCCCCAATAATGACAGACCACTTGAGTATGGATGGAAACAGGCCACAGCATTTTATTATCACAAACTAAATTACTACTTGCTACATCCATAACTTTATTTATTAAATCTCTTCTTTCTGTAATAAAAGCGTTAGACATAAATAATCATAAATTAACATATATACATATATAACTCCACCATAGTGTTATACAGTGACCAACCGTCCTTGCCAATAAACATACAGTGGTTCCTAATCACCACTTCCTCTCACCTCCCCCCTCGTCATAAAAATCATATATTTCCAATGCCCGCCATCAGCCGACCTTATCCACGCTCGATGGGCACGACACCTCAGGTAACCTAATGTTAATCGTTTGAAGCAGGGGAGATTGAGACCTGCAAAACATAAAAACTTACTCCATCCTTAAACATAACCCCTCAAACTCAATTGGCAAGGACATTCCCCCGGCTCGCTGTGACTAACTAAGACTCAAAAGGGGTGGGTGGGCGGGAAGCTGTTTGCTGGCCCGTATCCCAAGTGGCACTGAGGTAAGACCTCCCCCACGCTAACTTACACAGAACATAATCCCACCCACACACTCTTTCCCATCCAATCCCATGTATCTATCCCCACACTCCTACATGTGCCCTTGTCCGCTTAGCTGCGCTGTCTCCCCAGGGCCTAATACCTCTCCCTATACAACCAAGCATTCTGCTAGCATTTCCTGCTGCTCTATTACATTGTCTGCCTACCTTTAGGTCATCAGAAATAATCACCCCTAAATCCCTTTCCTCATATGTTGAGGTTAGGACTCTTATCAAATATTCTGTACTCTGCCCTTGGGTTTTTACGTCCAAGATGCATTATCTTGCACTTATCCACATTAAATGTCAGTTGCCACAACTCTGACCATTTTTCTAGTTTACCTAAATCATTTGCCATTTGGCTTATCCCTCCTGGAACATCAACCCCGTTACATATCTTAGTATCATCAGCAAAAAGACATACCTTACCATCAAGACCTTCTGCAATATCACTAATACAAATATTAAAGAGAATGGGACCAAGTACAGATCCCTGAGGTACCCCACTGGTGACAAGTCCAAGCTTCGAATATATTCCATTAACTACAACCCTCTGTTGCCTGTCACTCAGCCACTGCCTTACCCATTCAACAATATTGGAATCGAAACTTAAAGATTGCAGTTTATTGATAAGCCTTCTATGTGCAACAGTGTCAAAAGCCTTACTGAAATCTAGGTAAGCAATGTCTACTGCACCACCCTGATCTATAATTTTAGTTACCCAATCAAAAAAATCAATAAGATTAGTTTGGCATGATCTCCCTGAAGTAAACCCATGTTGTCTTCCCAATCTTTAATTACTATGTGTAGATGAGATATAACGCTTTCTCCAGGGCCCAGCCATCATCCACATGCTTGGTGCAATATAAAGAACGGGTTAAAGATTGCAATTCTAGGTTTATTTATAATCTTCTTCAGTTTTAATGAAAATAAATAGAAGTATTATTCCATAATTCCCCCTGCCCCCCCACACCCACAACTGCAGCAATAAGAGAACGCTTTGGGTTTCTGGGAGCTCCTACAGCGGAAAGCAGACTACAACTCCCTGAAACCATTGCTGTGCTCTGCTGAGTTCTGCTTATCAAATATACTCAACAGTGATGTTACATGAGCTTGATTGGTTGAGTCACTTCCTGGTTTTGTAGAGCTCACTGCAGAGGCTGCAAAGCTTTGGAACCTAGCCATGGAAACTTTAGAAACTCCGTAGGCCGGTGGTTTCCAAACCAGTCTTCAAGGCATGTCTACCAGTCCAAGATTTAGGGATTAGCCAGTTGTGTCAAGGTGTTATTTTTTATTTTTTTTCTAATAAGACATTAGACACAACGGGGTAATCTCTATATCTTGGACTCCTAGGCGTTTGGAAACCACTGCCCTAGGCAGTAATACTGTAGGTATACCCTTGGCCAGGCATAGGTAACCTTCGGCACTCCAGATGTTCGGAACTACATTTCCCTTGATGCATTATGGGAGATGTAGTTCACAACATTTGGACTGCCCAAAGACCGGTAGGCTACAGCCACCCTGCTAGGTAAGCACAGTATGAAGACATCAAAATGGATGTTACCCCAAAGTCAGTGATACTCTGGGGTCTACGGCAGCCCCAAAGCACTTCACGTGAGGTACCGACACTGCAGGACACCCAAGTCTTTATTAAACAGTCAATTAAAGGAAATATAACAATAATTCCACCATCTCTTTGTAAACGTTCTGTCTCCCAATGTTGCAATAATCATTAAATGTAACAATGAATGTCGGCTGTTTCCTCATTCTCTCTCTTGATCGGATCATTTGGAATGATGGACTTCGAGGTTTATTCGCTAAACACTAACTCGTGGTTACATTGGAATGAAAAAAAGAAATAAACAACAAAATTCAGACTAAAATAGTGTGTGTGTTATTATTCACATGTTATGGTGTTTTTTGTTGCGATCTTTTAGTAATAAAGGGTAACTCCAACCCTAGGAGACTGCCTAAGAAGTGTGCCGATGGTGCAACTAGCGCCAAGCGCACAACTGCCAATATATTGGGATGTGCAGCACTCCAAGCAGAAGTGGTCATGGTGGTTGGAGTAACCCTTTAACTATTTTTAATGAAAGCTACGTTTTAGAATTACAGCCCTGGAGTGCCTGTGGATTTTGGTGCTTTGCTCATAACTCAGGCACACGTTCGCAATCTGTGGCCTCAGACTCTCTATTTTACTATATTAGGCCCCAGGGAGAGTGTGCAGCTTAGCAGACAAGGGCACATGTATGAGTGTGGGAATGGAGGAAACATGAATGGCTGCTTGTTATGTGTGGAAGTGTTGGATGTGAGGAAGGGGTTGGTGACAAATTAAGCTGACCTCAGTGTCACTTAGTATCCGGGCCAGCAACAGTTTAACGCCCACCCTCACTTTGTAATTTGGGCTCGGGGTGTTGTCACAGCTAGGCAGGGGGCATATCCTTGCCAAATAAGGTGGGAGATGGTTAGCAGGTAGATAAGTAAAGGGATAATGGCCGGGCCTCATCCTCCCCTGTCTCTTATGGTAAACCGTAAGGGGTACCAGGTTGGACGTGTCCCCACCGAGCTAAAAGCCGGCTGGTGGGGAGCCCAAAAGGGAAGAGGAATTTATTATGCCGAGGGGGAAGGTGAGCCTTTGGGAAGGGGTGAGCTAGATTGGCAAGGACATTTTGATTACATTAAGGGCATACTGTATGAGATTATGCACCGTTATTTATAGAGTTATAATCGTTTTAGTTATTTATATGTACAGTTTTATATGAATTGGATGCGTTATACAGTATTAGTGTATTTTAATAACAGGTGTGAGAGAGGCTGGACTAGGAAACAACTATTTCTTTCAGCCAAGTTGTAGAATTTTTCATTGTTTAGTGAATAAAGCCCATTCTGGTTTAATTTGTGCGGTGTGGTGGTTTATTTGAGCAGAGATACGCAGACAGTGGAACTAAGTGAAGAATTTGATCAGAGACGCCTCAATCCATTGCATTCCGCAGGTTGGTAATCTCAAAACCCATGTCCTTTCTCAGAATTTTTCACCTTTTAACGCACGGTGTGTCCTGTTCTTGATGTGGCAGGGCGGAGCAGTGTTTGTCAGTCATAGAACAAAGGATTAGTATAGGAGATTTATAACTGCTAATTAATCTGCTAATATTTACAGAGCTCATGTGATGTGAACTAAAAGACGTAAAATAAGAAGCCTCGTTGGGAAACGCAGAGACTCTGACTTATTCAATGTTTTGCCACGTTTAAGGATAATGGCGATGGTATAAAAACACACGTGTGGATCCTTCATTCCTCTCTTGAAATATGGCTTAAAATATCTTTTTTTAAATTAGGTTTTGGCCAGGAGGATGTCACGGGAGATGCTCAGTTATGGCAAACAAAGTGCGTTCCTGGTGGTTTTATTGGTAAAAACTTTTCAAACGTTGGCATGTCCTGATCTTTGTGAGTGTTCGATTGCAAAAGTGGATTGCAATGGAAAACGTTTTTACTTTATTCCGGAAACCATGGACCATAAAACAGACAGCATATTACTGGCCTTCAATGAAATATCTAGCGTTCAATCGATGGCTTTCTCAGCGTTCCATCTTCTTACACACCTGGAGCTGCAGAACAACCTCCTGTCCAGAATACACAGGAATGGCTTCCACGGCCTGCGCAACCTGAGCTACCTCGACTTGAGCAGCAACCGACTAACGTCCATTACGCCCGATGTTTTTACCCCCCTGTCCAGGCTGACCAAACTCAACCTGGGAAACAACCAGCTCTCCCAGCTGCCTGCAAATATCCTGCTGCCGTTAGTACATTTGCAAAGCCTTTATTTGTACAATAATGCCCTGAACGGGCTCCAGGTCGAGGTCTTGACCTGCGCTCCAGCGCTAACAGAACTGCGACTGGATGGGAACCCCTGGGCCTGTACCTGTCAGATTCAACACATGGTGTCTTGGATGATCGAGAACGGGCAAATAATGAAAGGTAAGCGGTGTTATTAAGGTGATAGAATCGCATTATATAGAGATCATTTTGCAAGCCCTCCCCTCTTTTCAGTCTGTGTGGAAAGATGACCAATTACTGGGAGGGCTTTGATTTTAAGCCACTTCCAAGTGTGCGTGCTCGGCCCCAGGGGGCAGGGGTGCTGAGGTACACTGAGCTCCATGGACGCTCGCTCACAGACTCACCGTGACTTGGGGGAGAAGGCAGACACGCTCTAACAGCATCGGAAAGTTAACCTGCATGCCGGGGGAGGGGGAGAGAGGAGGGGGTCTCTGCAAATATTTATAAAAGTGTAAATTTCAAACAGAAATCAGCACTTTTATAACTTGCAATTATGAGTGTACACTGATCAGCCAAAACATTAAACCTACTTCCTGGTGAAGTGAATAACATTGATTATCGTTACAATGGCCCCTGTCACGGGGTGGGATATATTAGGCAGTAAGTGAACAGTCGCTTCTTGAATTTCACGTGTTGGAAGCAGGAAAAATGGGCAAGTGAGACCATCTGGGTGACTTTGACACGTATCACCTACCTAGAGATAGTTGCAGACACTCCTTAATGGCAATAGTGTTACCTTGGCCTCCAAATTCCCCAGCACTCAATCAGATTGACCATCTGTGGGATGTGCTCAAAACAACAAATTGGATCCATGGAGGTCCCACCTCGCAACTTGCAGGAATAAAGGATCTGCTGCTAATGTTTTGGTGCCTGATCCCACAGGACACGTTCAGAGGTTTTGGAGTCCCTGCCTCGATGTATAAGAGCTGTTTTGGAAGTACGAGGGGCCCTACATGATATTAGGCAGGTGGATTTAATGGCGTGGCTGATCAGTGAACCCTGAGAAAGCTGGCGTGCTTTATGTGTGCCGAGTGTCCCTTTAAATAATACTTTGAGGTGTGATACAGGGACCACGATAAAGAGCAGTCAGCGATTTATAGACCTATATACAGGATATTACAGAGAAATAGCAGTATTTTGTTTCAATTCTTCCATAGTGATCATTCTTTGATCATATAATCACAATCACAATGTGGGCTATGAGTGGGTTCTGTGAGTGTGGGCTTTGAGTGGGTTCTGTGAGTGTGGGCTATGAGTGGGTTCTGTGAGTGTGGTCTATGAGTGTGGGCTGTGAGTGGGGGCACTCTGAGTGGGTTCTGTGAGTGGGGGCACTCTGAGTGTAGTCTATGAGTGAGGGCTATGAGTGTGGGCACTCTGAGTGGGTTCTGTGAGTGGGGGCACTCTGAGTGTGGTCTATGAGTGTGGGCACTCTGAGTGTGGTCTATGAGTGAGTTCTATGAGTGTGGTCTGAGTGAGTTCTATGAGTGGGGGCTGTGAGTGAGTTCTATGAGTGTGGGCTATGAGTGAGTGCTATGAGTGGGGGCTGTGAGTGGGGGCACTCTGAGTGTGGGCACTCTGAGTGTGGGCTATGAGTGAGTTCTATGAGTGTGGGCTATGAGCGTGGGCTCTGAGTGGGAGCACTCTGAGTGAGTTCTATGAGTGTGGGCTATGAGTGTGGGCACTCTGAGTGGGTTCTGTGAGTGAGTTCTATAAGTGGGTTCTTTATCTCTATAAATGTAAAGCGCTGCGGTATATGTTGGCGCTATTAATAATAATAATAATAATAATGTTTGCTCTCTCTGATTCTGTAAAATAAGATGAAAATTCAAATCAGTGAAATTAATTCTTTATTTTCTAGAAACCAGCAGGACCCTGTGTGAGAGTCCCAGATCCCTGAATCACTTTCCAGTCCTGGAGATAACGCGGGAATCCTTCCGCCGCTGCCGGGACTACATTCCGCTGTCTGACTCTCTGTACATTCTGCTAACTGGCATTGCACTATTTACTAGCAGTATTGTCCTCTGCTTTCTAGCGGGTTCCCTGACTGTCTGCTATGAACGCGTGCTAATCTCCATCCGCCAGCGACCGCGCGTCTACAAACCCGCCAAAACGCAGGAAAACATTATCATTGCAAATCCTTCCGCAGGATGGGTTATATAGACTGACTGGCCCCATGACAGGCTCCACAGCTCAAACCCCTCACCGAATAAATAAACCTCCAACTGGCTCAAACCCCTCACCGAATAAATAACCCTCCAACTGGCTCAAACCCCTCACCGAATAAATAACCCTCCAACTGGCTCAAACCCCTCACCGAATAAATAACCCTCCAACTGGCTCAAACCCCTCACCGAATAAATAACCCTCCAACTGGCTCAAACCCCCCACCGAATAAATAAACCTCCAACCGGCTCAAACCCCTCACCGAATAAATAAACCTCCAACTGGCACAAACCCCTCACCGAATAAATAAACCTCCAACCGGCTCAAACCCCTCACCAAATAAATAACCCTCCAACTGGCTCAAACCCCTCACCGAATAAATAAACCTCCAACTGGCTCAAACCCCTCACCGAATAAATAACCCTCCAACTGGCTCAAACACCTCACCGAATAAATAACCCTCCAACTGGCTCAAACACCTCACCGAATAAATAAACCTCCAACTGGCTCAAACCCCTCACCGAATAAATAACCCTCCAACTGGCACAAACCCCTCACCGAATAAATAACCCTCCAACTGGCTCAAACCCCTCACCGAATAAATAAACCTCCAACTGGCTCAAACCCCTCACCGAATAAATAACCCTCCAACTGGCTCAAACACCTCACCAAATAAATAAACCTCCAACTGGCTCAAACCCCTCACCGAATAAATAACCCTCCAACTGGCTCAAACCCCTCACCGAATAAATAACCCTCCAACTGGCTCAAACCCCTCACCGAATAAATAAACCTCCAACCGGCTCAAACCCCTCACCAAATAAATAACCCTCCAACTGGCTCAAACCCCTCACCGAATAAATAAACCTCCAACTGGCTCAAACCCCTCACCGAATAAATAACCCTCCAACTGGCTCAAACCCCTCACCGAATAAATAAACCTCCAACTGGCTCAAACCCCCCACCGAATAAATAAACCTCCAGCTGGCTCAAACCCCTCACCAAATAAATAACCCTCCGACTGGCTCAAACCCCTCACCGAATAAATAACCCTCCAACTGGCTCAAACCCCTCACCGAATAAATAACCCTCCAACTGGCTCAAACCCCTCACCGAATAAATAACCCTCCGACTGGCTCAAACCCCTCACCGAATAAATAACCCTCCAACTGGCACAAACCCCTCACCGACAACCTCCAACTGGCACAAACCCTCACCAAATAAATAACCCTCCCACTGGCTCAAACCTCACCGACAAATAACCCTCCCACTGGCTCAAACCCCTCACCAATAAATAACCCTCCAACTGGCTCAAACCCCTCACCGAATAAATAAACCTCCAACTGGCTCAAACCCCTCACCGAATAAATAACCCTCCAACTGGCTCAAACCCCTCACCGAATAAATAACCCTCCAACTGGCTCAAACCCCTCACCGAATAAATAACCCTCCAACTGGCTCAAACCCCTCACCGAATAAATAACCCTCCAACTGGCACAAACCCCTCACCGAATAAATAACCCTCCAACTGGCTCAAACCCCTCACCGAATAAATAAACCTCCAACTGGCTCAAACCCTTCACCGAATAAATAAACCTCCAGCTGGCTCAAATCCTCCAACTGGCTCAAACCCCTCACCAAATGACGCGGGAGTCACAGTATGTGGGATGGGGGGTCACAGCTTGTGGGACACGGGGAGGTCACAGTGTGTGGGACACAGTGTGTGGGACGGGGGTCACAGTGTGTGGGACACGGGGGGGTCACAGTTTGTGGGACATGGGGGGGTCACAGTGTGTGGCACACAGGGGTGTCACAGTGTGTGAGACACGGGGGGTCACAGTGTGTGGTACAGGGGACGTCACATTGTGTGGGAAGGGGGGGCGTCACAGTGTGTGGGACAGGGGGGGTCACAGTGTGTGGGACGGGGGGTCACAGTGTGTGAGACGGGGGTCACAGTGTGTAGGATGTCTGGGACTGGTGGCAGGTTTTAATTAGTTATATTAAGTATAATAAATAATATATTTACAGTTGCAAGAAAAGTATGTGAACCCTTTGGAATGATATGGATTTCTGCACAAATTGGTCATAAAATGTGATCTGATCATCATCTAAGTCACAACAATAGACAATCACAGTCTGCTTAAACTAATAACACACAAAGAATGAAATGTTGCCATGTTTTTATTGTACACACCATACCCAGAGCCATTACCACTACTTAGCATCACCCAGAGCCATTACCACCACCTACCACAACCCAGAGCCATTACCAGCATCTACCACTACCCAAAGCCATTACCACAACCTACCACTACCCAAAGCCATTACCACCCTCTACCACTACCTATAGCTACCCAAAGCCATTAACACAACCTACCACAACCCAGAGTCATTACCACAATCCAGAGCCATAACCAGTATCTACCACTACCCAGAGCCATTACCAGCACCTGCCGCTACCAGGAGCCATTACCAACAACTATTGCTACCCAAAGCCATTACCAGCAACTACCATTACCGATCGCTACACTGAGCCACTACCAGCACCTATCTCTGCTCAGAGCTATTACCAACAACTACTGCTACCCAGAGCCATTACTAGCACCTACTGCTACCCAGAGCCATTACCAACAACAACTGCTACCCAGAGCCACAACCAGCACCTACAGCTACCGAGAGCCGTTACCAACAATTACTGGTACCCAGAGCCATTACCAGCACCTACCACTACCCAGAGACACTACCAGCACCTATTGCTACTCAAAGCCATTACCAAAACCTACTGCTACCCAGAGCCATTACCAGCACCTACCACTACCTATCGCTATCCAGAGCCACTACCAGCACCTATCGCTGCTCAGAGCTATTACCAACAACTACTGCTACCCAGAGCCATTACCAGCAACTACCGCTACCCAGAGCCATTACCAACAACTACTGCTACCTAGAACCACTACCAACACCTAGTAATGATATATTATTCTTATTACGGGGGGAAGGGTGACTCTCCAAACTGCTTGAACGCCATCTTTTGCAGCCCATCACGAGTCGCACAGATAATAAATCTAAAATGATATTCGTGCAGACTGCGCACATTCTGATGGGTGGCCACTGCTGGCTGCGTATGACAGATTGGCTTCGATATCTCAGATTTTGGATATGGGGGCTGTTATAAATGAATTCTTATTTCACTGCGGCAATGTCTAGACATTTTATCACTGGAGCGCTCCTGTTATAATCCGCTAATTACACTCTTTGCTAATTAATGGCATTACTATTATTTACCATGTACCGGTCCGATACTTGGATCTTTATTTAGCTCCATTTAGTGAACGTGGGTCTTGGCGGGGATTGCTCTTCCTCTATAATGTTGGGTCGATATAGCCTTTCCGTCATTTCTGGGTCTGTATTCAGGATATATCTCATTTTGTTATAGTTCCGATGACAGGTCTTTCCTGATAATGTCACATTTTTGTATATTCCCTGTAGTTTAATTCATTAGCTCCACATCAGCATCCACATTCAAGGTAGATATAAGGAACAGAAAATGCGACAGTTGTGTTTGACCGTTACTGGTTACTATACGCTGCTGTCACTGCGTCTGCTTTCACTACAGAGCCGGCGTTATTTGTGTCTTAATGTATGTACGCTGTGCTCTCTATGCTTTGTGCTACGCTCATGTCTGAACACCTTTTAATATAGCTCAAATAATAAAAAATAAATCAATTATTATTTCAAACGTTCCGTCCTAAGAAATGATAAAATATGATTAGAAGAATTGTATAAAACACAAGACAAACAGAACAATTTGTGAGATTCATGGTTACCGTGGTGAAAAGAGCATTCTATTATTTTAAACAGTTTATTGGGTTTATATATAAATATAGCATTCATGCAAATACACAAACTGATATCATAACCATTTCTCTTGTAAAATATATATGTATGTATATATATATATATTAGTTCGAAGAACCTTCTGTACAAATGTACCCCTTATATGAGAGTTAAAAATTAAGTCAATTATACCAAAGTTTTCCTTTTCCTCAGTCCTTTTCAAGTCTTCCACGCATGTGATGATGGTACCTGTCTCAGGAACAAAATCTGTCTACAGTACTTAGGGGATGGTGGGGGCTATGGGACTAATTATTTACCAGTTGGAATAAAAAAAAAGCATTCACAATTTTCCATCGTTTGAACCAGCACTCCGGCTCTGTACGGTGCACGGTGATGGGAGTTACATGTGTTGCAGTCATGCAGTCCCAATGTCCTGGCTGGCTACATTCTTACCAGTTATAAAATGTGAAATGCGTTGGTCTTAGGTCCTTATTTAAACCATCCACTCAAGCCAGACATTATCTTCTCGCTGTTACACCACAGTGCTAACAGAGGGGTCGGACAGATTTAGCTGGCCAGTGATATCAGTTGGGTGATATTGCTGTAAAATACAAATACACAGAGAGGAAGCATGAGGATATACTGTGGCCAACGCGTTCGAATGAGGTTTCAGCTTCTGTTCAGGAGTCTGCAGAGTTTAATGTCTGTAAAATGACAATAAGTTGGGCCAGTTATAGATGCAGACGGGTAACTGCCAGGTTTTTATGTTTTAGTTTTTTACATTGAGACCAATATACAGTAAAGACACACAGTTTACTCCGCTGTCTCCCGGTATGATTAATGTGTAAATGTGTAAATGTAGATTAAATTTGATGTTTGTAAAGTTACAAAATGTGCTGATGGTGTGTGTCATATAATCAGTATTGTAACTGTAGCGAAAATGTTATTCTGTTTCACTGGAAATTTTGGGGTCCCTAATATATTTCCTGCTAACCTAAAACGAGAGCTGGAACCCGAGACTTCTATACAATTTACTTTTTATATTTATACGTTATTTTACATTATGCTATTATATTTTACTATCAAATCTATCTATCTATCTATCTATCTATCTCTATCAATCCTTACATCTACCCATCCATCTTTAAGAGATCTTCATGGAGATTATATCAGAGATTTTGTACCAGTCAATTATAAACACCAATTTCAACAGTTCTGACAGTCTGTGTGCTTTCTATACAGTCCTATTAATGAGCGCTAGAGGTCTATGTGTACTGAGCCGGTCACACTATGCTGGGATAGTCTGTGTGCTTTCTATACAGTCCTATTAATGAGCGCTAGAGGTCTATGTGTACTGAGCCGGTCACACTATGCTGGGATAGTCTGTGCTTTCTATACAGTCCTATTAATGAGTGCTAGAGGTCTATGTGTACTGAGCCGGTCACACTATGCTGGGATAGTCTGTGCTTTCTATACAGTCCTATTAATGAGCGCTAGAGGTCTATGTGTACTGAGCCGGTCACACTATGCTGGGATAGTCTGTGTGCTTTCTATACAGTGCTATTAATGAGTGCTAGAGGTCTATGTGTACTGAGCCAGTCACACTATGCTGGGATAGTCTGTGTGCTTTCTATACAGTCCTATTAATGAGCGCTAGAGGTCTATGTGTACTGAGCCGGTCACACTATACTGGGATAGTCTGTGCTTTCTATACAGTCCTATTAATGAGAGCTAGAGGTCTATGTGTACTGAGCCGGTCACACTATGCTGGGATAGTCTGTGTGCTCTCTATACAGTCCTATTAATGAGCGCTAGAGGTCTATGTGTACTGAGCCGGTCACACTATGCTGGGATAGTCTGTGTGCTTTCTATACAGTCCTATTAATCAGAGCTAGAGGTCTGTGTGTACTGAGATGGTCACACTATGCTGGGATAGTCTGTGTGCTTTCTATACAGTCCTATTAATGGTCTATGTGTACTGAGCCGGTTACACTATACTGGGATAGACTGTGTGCTTTCTATACAGTCCTATTAATGAGAGCTAGAGGTCTATGTGTACTGAGCCGGTCACACTATGCTGGGATAGTCTGTGCTTTCTATACAGTCCTATTAATGAGCGCTAGAGGTCTATGTGTACTGAGCTGGTCACACTATGCTGGGATAGTCTGTGTGCTTTCTATACAGTCCTATTAATGAGTGCTAGAGGTCTATGTGTACTGAGCTGGTCACACTATACTGGGATAGTCTGTGCGCTTTCTATACAGTCCTATTAATGAGCGCTAGAGGTCTATGTGTACTGAGCCGGTCACACTATGCTGGGATAGTCTGTGTGCTTTCTATACAGTGCTATTAATGAGAGCTAGAGGTCTATGTGTACTGAGCCAGTCACACTATGCTGGGATAGTCTGTGTGCTTTCTATACAGTGCTATTAATGAGCGCTAGAGGTCTATGTGTACTGAGCCGGTCACACTATGCTGGGATAGTCTGTGTGCTTTCTATACAGTCCTATTAATGAGAGCTAGAGGTCTATGTGTACTGAGCCGGTCACACTATGCTGGGATAGTCTGTGTGCTCTCTATACAGTCCTATTAATGAGAGCTAGAGGTCTATGTGTACTGAGCCGGTCACACTATGCTGGGATAGTCTGTGTGCTTTCTATACAGTCCTATTAATGAGCGCTAGAGGTCTATGTGTACTGAGCCGGTCACACTATGCTGGGATAGTCTGTGTGCTTTCTATACAGTCCTATTAATGAGAGCTAGAGGTCTATGTGTACTGAGCCAGTCACACTATGCTGGGATAGTCTGTGTGCTTTCTATACAGTCCTATTAATGAGAGCTAGAGGTCTATGTGTACTGAGACGGTCACACTATGCTGGGACAGTCTGTGTGCTTTCTATACAGTCCTATTAATGAGCGCTAGAGGTCTATGTGTACTGAGCCGGTCACACTATGCTGGGATAGTCTGTGTGCTTTCTATACAGTCCTATTAACGAGTGCTAGAGGTCTATGTGTACTGAGCCGGTCACACTATACTGGGA